CATACCATGGTTTGCTTATCTCAAACTGTTCAATACTGCACTTGACAAATTACCCACCGTGAGAAAAAATCTTTGGCGAGGTGTACCTCGCGACGTTAGCAGGGATATTAAGAAAAATCAAGAATTGATATGGTGGAGTGTGACCTCGTGCTCATCGTCGATCGATGTTATTAAGAACTTTATTGGCATAAAAGATGCGACTCTCTTCATGATCGAAGCTATGAGTGGCAAGGATGTGTCTGGCTACACGACGTATCCCGGTGAGAGTGAGGTGCTGTTGCTACCAGGCACTCGACTGCGTGTGGAAAGCAATGCACTCGATCACGCTGGTGGCCTACACGTTGTGCATTTAGTGGAAATAACGATCCACGACTACCACCAAAACCATCATCAGCAGAGCCGTATGGTGAGTATCGAATGTATCTTTCTAACGAGAAAACGGGTCCGACATGAATCTCAATCGAAATGAGATCTTGATCTGACGCTTGAAATAATTGTAAAATGAACGGTGAGATTAGTCAAGATGATCTACTTGTTTGTGTTACGAAATTTCTGATGAAATCCGTTTGAGACTATTTTCCAATTTTACTGACAAAGCTCGTTCGACGCAAAGATATTCTTCAGTATTTTCTTTGAACTCATATGAATATGGGATTGATTGATTGAATTGTTATTGAAGAGACTGGCAATATGAATGCAACAGTCATTTCGGCTCCAGTACCGAAAGCAATTAGCAAAAAGCAGTCACGAGTGAGGGTGTTGATAGGATGCCACAAAGTTTCAGGTCGAAACTTGAAAATGTGATTTTGCTGGAAAATGGAGGTCCTGCAGGGAAAGATCATCAAAAAGTCTATATCTCAGCGACAAAGGCCCACAAAACCAAACCGCCCGAGGGTGTTTAACTACTTACAACGGTCTATCGGTTGCATATAGCATCGGTCCAAAAGCGATTTAACAGTATAAGAGGTTCCCTCGTGAGATTGAATTTTTTATATCAGAATGAACTGAAACTTAAAATTCATAAACAGAAGACTATCGTATCCGAGTGAGAGAGAACGTTTCTGGAACGACGAGTGCAGTCGATGTCTCATCATCCAGTGTGACTTATTCTTACGTTAAGGTAACGAGTGAAACAGCAACAAGAGAAAACTGCACGACTCTTTTGTGTCCTTTGTATGCTTGACAGTGGCCAAAAGATAAATAGCGGGAGATTTCTTCCAACAAAAATATACAGTGTACGGAGTAGAAACAAAATATACAGTCGGCACACGAAAACACACTTCGTCTAGAGAGAAGACAACCGTATCGAAGTTCTTGCCTTAAAGAACAGATACGTCCACGCGTGCTTGGTTTTTTATTTGCAGAAGGACTCAACCATGCCAACACACAGGATTGTCTCGGGCGATACTTTCTCTATTCTGAGCAAACGGTACGGATGCACACTCGAAGCAATGCTAGCTGCCAATCCTGATGCAACACCCGAGTACTTGCAAATAGGTCAAATTGTGAATGTGCCTGTAGGAGGAAGAGGTATGCTCATTCCTTATCTGTATGTTTATGTCATTGTTTGTTGAATATTCGTTCCAAGATTTTGTCTGTGTTCCGATACTAGTCAATAGCAACAATAAGCGGCTTTCTATTTACTGACTCAAGTCTTAGCCGCTGATCTTGTCACTCTTTCTCACGATACTTCGCACAGACACTTGTGGTTTCTCTGTAGAGTGATCTAGAAAAGTCGATTTTCTCACAGTGTCGTTAACTTAAATTTTTCTACATGAGCGTGGCGAATACAACGAACTTTACATCGCATCTTTCCATAGAAATGTATCGCTCTTTAACCTTTCCTTCAAATAAATAGACCCGACAATGCGACCAGACAATTTTTAACCAGGTCGATTTACTCGAAAGTGGTCTCATTCGAAAGAGCACACCAAATCTACTTAAAACACTCTTCAGAAGTTTGAGATCTAAAAGTTCGGTACGCAAAAGTTTTTCAATAAGAATTCCTGCAAGAAATAGTTGCCATACTATAAAATTATTTCCAGCCAAGGGAACAGCTTCAAGTGCTCAAACCTTCGGACGGCTCCGGTCACTTTTTTTCTGTATTAGCGAAAAGTACATTACAGCACTAATTTAGAAACGTGATCTTTTAAGCAACAATGCTTTTTTCAGACATTGCTAGAATGAGCATGCAGAACTTCAATACGTCTGAATCCAATTCGGAGGATGTTACAGTAACTGCAATGGCCCTTTCTTGTATAGCTTTCAGGACAGTAGCGCTCAAGTCCAAGGCCAATGGAAAATTCGTAACGGCACAAAATTCTGGTTCTCTTCCATTAATTGCACGTTCGGACGCGGTGAACGAATCGGAAAAATTCGATATCATTCCGGTGGATGAAAACCTCAGCCATATTGCGTTAAGAGCCGTCGCCAACCAGCTGTATGTGACAGCCGACAATGTTGGTGCCGGTCCATTGATTGCCAATCGAGATCAAATCGGCACATGGGAAACGTTTCAAGTGGTGAAACTCGCTGATGGCACCCAAGCATTCAAGTCAATGGCCAATAATCTTTTCGTTTGTGCGGACAATGGTGGAAATAGTCCTCTCATCGCCAATCAGGATTCAGCAAGCGCATGGGAAGCATTCGAGGTCATTTCACAATAGTGCGGTTGAAATCAGGTTGTGGTAAAATGGTCTGAATCTGGTTTTCGCGGATTATTCATGAAAAATCCCCATGGACCGTAGAGAAAAATTGTTTCTTATATAATATTCTGTGTGTGCCTTTCCTAGCTTTGTAAATAAGTGTATGTTTTTATTTTAAGAGATAGTTCATGAGAGAATCGAGCAATGCTAAAGAATCTCGTATCCTCGGAATTATAACCTATACTTTTTATTATTGGAAACGAAAGCCCACGGACAGAAACTACTAAATTCAAAGTTTCAGCTCTTTATTTTCGTATCTTCAAAAGTTCGTATCTGTTCTTTCTTTACTTTAACGGTGCGACACTGTACAGTGTACAATGTACGTTACACAACGTTAAAGCAGGAAGAAAACAACACTGTACTTCTTTCTCTAATTTTTCATTAATTTTTTAAATTCTGTGTATAGTGATGCTTTTTAAAAGAAGCATCACTATACACAGAAGAGATGCTTTTCCGTAAAATATTTCTTAGATTTTTACTCCAAGGGGTGGTTCATTCAGATTGAAATGACCCGAAACAGGAAATCGTTTTTCTCGATCATATAACGGGTAGCCCAGATAAAATGAGACACTTTCGTTCGTTGTTTTTGAGGCACTGTTCGGTAGTTCCAAGAATTTGTTCGAAGGCCAATCGATAGAGACTTGAATTCTCTACAAAACCTGCTATTTCAATCTCTGATAGCATTTTTCTCGTTTGAGTACCATTCAAAATATTGAACGGTGCTGAGTTGCCGAACTGCGACACACTGAAAACAGAAAAATATTTGCCTTGATCCAAAAACAGATTCCATAAGGATTTTGAAAACATGAGAAGATTTACCAGAAAATTCTGCATCTTCCCACTGAAAAACATAATCAAAATTCATGCAGGATCCCGCGGGTTGTCCGTATTCAAATATCTGGCGATGTTTCTTACTTTTACGCAAGATTTTTATTCTGATGGTCATGATGGAATTCTACATAGTTTACGTAGGATTAACGTAGTAAAAATCCTGCTTAAAGGTGAAAAACATCGCAAGACCTTTTAACTTATTCAACCCGCAAGTTTTTTCTTACGAGATCTGGCAGGATTTTGTCTTCCGTGTCTATCATGCAAGTTTTTCTCGCCAATGTCTGCCCAGCGTGACTGTGAAGGAACTTGTCTGTATTTTGTATTTTTCGAAAGTTAAGTACTTTTGCATCTTTTTCTTGTAAAGTTATAAAAGCTTCTCTCGTATCCAATAAACTTCTAGAAAATGTATACCTTAATATTTTGACTTTAACACGCATTTTCATGTGTACAAAACCAAACTATTAATAGATAGTTGAAAAGATACTTTTTATGTCAGGAATATTCTATTTTCTTCCGCCAGTATGAAATTAAAGTCATTAGAATGATTCCACTGAAAAAAAGATATATAGCAAAGCAGAGATATCAAACTATTCTAATTTCTTCAGTTTTGAATACTATATTAAATAGTATATAATTTAAAAACTTTGATAATAGCATTGAGAAGTTAATATATTAAGGTTAATATACGTTAATATATTAAGGTATACATTTTCCAGAAGTTTACTGAACGAGAAAAGCTTTTATAATTTTATAAGAAAAGGTACAGAAGCTCTTAACTTTACAAAAATACAAACACAGACAAGTTCCGCCACGGTCACCCTGGATAGACATTGGTGAGAAAAGATTGCAGGTTGCTGCAGGATAGACATAGGAGATGAAATTCTGCCAAATCGCGTAGGAAAAATACCTGCGGACTGCCCTGTAATAATCTTTTCTAGGAGACACCGTTTCTTTTCTCCAGGATCAAATCGTACAGACCTTGCATTGTTTGCGTAGTGAGATATATTGTGTATTGCAAGTGATAAAAGGGAGGGAAAAATTCCGCAGGAAGAAGAATGTGCGAGATATATCTGAGGAACGCCTGTAAAAGCTCCGTGCCTAGAAAAGAATCTTCCAGGATCCTGCAGAAAAGAAATTTTAAAAATTAGCATAAAAAAGAATCCTCACGGTTATGCTCACCAACTTGCAGGAAACGTTTCAGCAAGATAACGTGATGTGAAAACCTGCAACATATATCCAATAATCACAGGATTTTTTGAGATTCCTGCGTTAATACGCAGGAATTTGTAAGTTATTTTTCAGTGGATGCTCACGTATTTTTCGAAATTTTTGCGGCTCACTTTTCTAGGAAACTTTCTCTGTGCACAGAACTGATAAATTGAATAAAATCTAACTTCTCAACCTGTTTCTCACAGACTTTAGTTTTCTGACTATAGAAACAGTAAAGCGTTTTGAATCCAGGATTTTAGTCTTACCATCTTACACAAAATTAAATTCTACACTTTTTGATATATACAGAAAGTTTCTCAATTAAAATCATTAATTAAAACAATTAATTTAATTTGAAAAATTGAAAGCCGGTTGAGAGCTAATTATGAGTCCAGCTGACGTAGCGAAAACACTGTATGAAGTTGTATATTAGTGAGATCGATCGAGCACAAAATTCTCTATCTTTCTACCTAGAAAAGTTAACTATTGGACCTCAGACAATGGAATAAAAATCTCAAAGAAGGAGCCGTCAAAAGCACATCGTAGTTCTACAACTCATACTGAATGGTGCTCAAACGGGAAAAATGCTGTCAGAGATTAAATTTCTATCAAGTTTGTAGAGAATTCCATTTCTATCGATTGACCTTATACAAAACTCTTGGAACTACTGGACCTTATCTCAAAAGCAACGAACAAAAGTGTCCCATTTTATCTGGAGCACCCGTTATTGTCATAAAGCTTAATCAGTACGGAAAAATAATAAAACTTACAGCATATGTTTTCTGTGTAAGTACTTGTAATAGTGCGCACAGCATATCATTTTGCAGAATTCAGGGTGCTCTACAATCTCGCATATTCAAATGTTTTGTCCAGCTCAAAGTTTTGTCACAATAAGTTAGTTTCTTTATATTAGCATGTCCTACGAGTTGCGACTTCTGGCCTAGCCTGATATAACTTTTCACAGGCTTTCAAACTATTCCAATTTCCAGGGCTGCCTTCTTTGTATAAAATTCCACTAAAAGTTTTCCTTTTGTTAGTTAACTTTAGCTAAATATTGTTAATACTTTTTTGCCCTGTTTTGAAATATTAACAAGAGTTTCCAATCGTATGAAATAAAACTTGGAACGTTTCTCTATCAAACAAAAACACAACCTTGAAGTTTGGTTGAGAAATGGCGGAGTTATTCATATTATTTTACACAAGCGACTTTTGGGGCACACGGTACTTTGTGTTCTACATAATGTCCCAATTTTTATAGGTTTTCGCCTATGTCCAATCCAATGGTGGCGTCATGCATTATTAGTTCTCGCTCTCTTGCACTCACTCCTCTCAATGCATGCTTTTGGTTTTTTATCTTATCTAACTCAGCATTC